ATGTTAAAAATGAGGCTAAGAAGCTGAATGTAGGGTAATTAACCAGCAAGTATCAGAAGAAAGAATGGCCTCTATGTACATATTGTGGGTACACATGCCATGATATAAATAAGTTCTACAAGTTACATGGATTTCCTCCTGGATATAAACCTAGGCAGAGAATTGGATCCAATCAGGCAAGAGGTTACAACAATCGAAATAATCAAGCTAACTGTGTTGTAGCTGGATTAGTTACTGGTTCAATTTCTGAACCAATCCATACTTCAAATCAGACGAAAAGTGAGATTGGAAACTTTGTACAAACTTTGATCCGAACTCAATATGAACACTTGATGAGTATGTTGAATACTTATCTTGCTGCTGCTAAAAATGAGACACAACAAGAAGGCAGTTCTGATCATATGACAGGTACATTTTGCTTTTCTTTTTCTTCCAACTGAATAATCAATTCACCTTCAGTTTGGGTGATTGATTCTGGAGCCACAAGCCACATTTGCTAGAATAAATATGCTTTTGACAAGCTAAGACCAATTCAGAATTCTTTTATTACTTTTCCTAATTGTGAGAAGATTCATGTTTAGTTTGTTGGAAATGTGAAGTTATCACCTGGACTCATCCTTGAGGATGTATTATTTGTGCCACAATTCATATTTAACTTGTTGTTAGTAGGCTCTTTAACAAGGAAATCTTCATTAAGTGTCAGTTTCCTCACTGACATATGTGTTATTCGGGTTGTGCCAACGTTGAAGATGATTGACAGGGGTGAAAGGGCTGAAGATTTATATATCATTGATGCAAGTTTCCTTTAGTTCATTTAGAATAATTCTGTTAGTTCCAACAATATTTGTAATTCTGTTAATTTCTCTCCCAGTACTTCATTTGCTAATAATGTAACAAGTCATATTTGGCATAATAGACTTGGGCATCTGTCTTTTAAGAAACTTGATCTGTTGAAAGACTTATTGAGATTCGATGAGAGGAAGAAATGAGCCATTATGCCTTGTCATGTTTGTCCCCTAGCCAAACAGAGGAGGCTTCATTCATTGTTAATAATCACTTATCTCCAGCAGCCTTTGATCTAATTCACTATGATGTTGGGGGACCTTATAATGTCAGTACTCATGCTGGTTACAAGTATTTCTTGACATTAGTTGATGATTGCGCCAGATTTACATGTGTATATTTGATGAAACAAAAATCTGATTCAACCTTTAACATTCCCATATTCTTCTCTCTCATAGAAACGCAATTCAACAAAGTAATAAAAGTACTTTAGATCTGATAATGCTAATGAGCTGAAATTCACGAAATTCTTCAACACCAAATGAGTGATTCATCAATACACTTGTGTGGAAAGACTAGAACAAAACTCTGGGTAGAAAGGAAACACCAACATCTCCTAAATGTGGCTCGTGCTTTGTTATTCCAGTCTAGAGTCCCTATTCATTTCTAGGGAGAATGCATTCTCACAGCTGTCTTTCTCGTCAATAGGATTCCAGCTCCAATACTACAAAACAAAATGCCCTACTTCTGCCTATACAAAACTTCTATAGATTACAACCATCTTAGGACATTTGGCAGTCTATGTTTTGCCTCCACTCTACCTTTAAACAGAACAAAATTGCATCCAAGAGCCAAAGCATGTGTGTTTGTTGGCTATCCTCCGGCCGTTAAAGGTTAAAAATTGTATGATATAGTCAATAAATCCTTCTTTATCTCAAGATATGTAGTTTTTCATGAACACGTCTTTCTATTCCAATCCATCCAGTCCTCCACTGATTCTGTCGATCCTTTTCCTGATATTGTACTACCAAAGCCTATCCAAGATTCGTTTTTCAGCCATCCTCAAGCAAACTCTTTGCCTGCAGTACCTCAAATCGATTCCTCATCTGCTGATGATCATAATGATGTTCTTCCGGCCAATGAAGGTGACCATGAAAATCCTATTCCTAACAATGATTCTAGTAGATAATTCACTTCATCTTCTCATGGAAGAGGTAACAGAACACGAAGAATCCTATCTTATCCTCGTATTTATCACTGTAATCTTCTAACTACTACCTCTGCTTCTCATACTGAATCCCTATATCCTTTGTCTAAATCCCTATCTTACAATGCTTTATCATCTTCTCATACTTCACTCCTACTCAACATATCCTCTACCTTTGAACCTCAATTTTATCACCAGGTTGTGAAGCATGAACACTGGAAACGAGCTATGGGAGATGACTTAGCAGCCATGGAAGCCAATCATACATGGACTATTACTTCTTTGCCAAGGGACAAGCACTCCATAGGATGTTGTTGGGTTTACAAAATTAAGTTCAAATGAGATGGGAGCATAGACCGTTATAAGGCCCGATTAGTAGTAAAAGGGTTATACCCAACAATAAGGATTAGATTTTACTGAAACTTTCTCTCCCGTAGCTAAATTAGTTACTGTCAAGGCTCTACTTAATGTTGCAGCTATCAGAAAATGGCATTTAATCCAATTAGATATCAATAATGCTTTCCTCAATGGTGATTTATTTGAGGAGATCTACATAGATTTGCCTTGGGATCATCCTAAACGTTGTACTGGTGGTTCTCGAGGGGGAAAAATTGTGTACAGATTGCATAAGTTGATTTATGGTCTAAAGCAAGCCTCTAGACAATTGTTCTCTAAGTTCTCTCAGACACTTTTGTTACATGGATTCCAGCAATCTAGATCAGACTACTCCTTATTCACGAAGGGATCTGGTTCTTCCTTCATCGCCTTACTTGTCTACGTTGATAATATAATCATCACTGGATCAGATGCAAAGATAGTTGATTCATTAAAGGTTTTTCTGCATAAACAATTCAAATTGAAGGACCTTGGTAAGCTTAAATACTTCCTCGGTTTGGAGATAGCAAGATCACAAAAGTGTATTTTTCTTTCCCAAATACATTATGCCTCACAACTCCTTGAAGATACTAGTTTTTTGGCCTGTAAACCAACATTGTCGCCAATGGATCCTAAACTGAAACTCAGCTCCAGAGAAGGGAAATTACTTAATGATGCTTCTTTGTATAGAAGACTTGTTGGTCGATTATTTTATTTAACAATATCACGGCTAGACATTACATTTTCTATCCACAAATTGAGTCAATTTGCCTCCCAGCCTCGACAACCCCATCTAGATGCTGCCCATCATCTTTTGAGGTATATCAAAGAAACTCCAGGTTAAGGCTTGATGTTTGATGCCTTGTCTTCTTTTCAACTTCGAGCTTTCACAGATGCTGATTGGGGCTCTTGCCCTGATTCCAGAAAATCCATTACAGGCTTCAATGTATTTCTTGGAAACTCTTTGATCTCTTGGAAGTCTAAGAAGTAGACAACCGTATGCAGATCTTCTACTGATGCAGAATACCGTGCTTTGGTCTCTTCAACCTGTGAAGTAGTTTGAAATCATCAAATTATTCTAGATTTACAAGTTACCATTTCACTTCCAGTTCTAATCTTTTGTGATAATCAGGTTGCCATCCACATTGCAAATAATCTAATCTTCCATGAAAGAACTAATCACATAGAAATAGATTTGTCATTTTGTTCGAGACAAAGTTATTGACGGATTCATCAAGCTATTACCAATTCGATCTCAGCATTAGTTAGCTGATATATTCACTAAACCTTCGTCATCCTCGCTCCTTTTTCCTCTATTGTCCAAAATGGTTATTCTCAATTTGCATAATCCATCTTGAGGGGGAGTATTGGAGCTCAGATCAGCTCCAGCAGCTCCAATAGCTTAGCCCCAGCTCCAGCTATCAATTAGTGCCCTTTTTTTGTATAGAATCTAATTAGTTAAAATTCTGTTAGTTAGTTAGATCCCAATTGTTTCTAGTTAGTTAGCTTACTTTGTATTTATAAATAGGAACATTATAGTATTGTAATCATTTAATACATTCGTGTGATTAATAAAAAGGAAGGTTTAATTTCTCCTTCAATACGTTGTATATGAATTCTCAAGTTAGACTGACGGAATTGCCCTTTTCATTTGCTACAAAATTTCTTGGAAGAACCTCTGTTGAATGACTCTGATGCCCTGATCGCGGTTAGAAGTTGGTTTATTCTCATACTGGAATTTTAGGCTAGACACAGAAAAAATATTAAAATAAAGCAAAAAATGAATTAGGGCTAATTAATAGGAAAACTTACCATTTAATATTTTTAGGTAAATATTATTTTAAATGTAGGAATAAATGGTAAAGTTGTAAAAGTCATATTTCAATTTATTTTCCAATAATTTTAATTTTTAGATTTTACAATTATTATCTTCAAATTATAGTCAATTTAGAATCATTCAGTACAATTGATGTCCGAGTTTATAAATTTTGGAAAAATAAATAAATTTAGTTATGTAAATTTAATTTGCAATTTTTAAAATGTAAGGTTAAAGTATACATTGTAATATTCTTAAATTATAAAAGATCTTTTTATTGGTCAAACTTTAAAATAAGTAAATAATTTATTTTGACAATAACTCAACCATTTCTACTTTGAAAGAAGGATAAAAATGTGTCTTGCAAGTTTAAATAAATATGTCAAAAGCACACCCTTCAAAATTATGTAATGGGTGATGGCTACATGTACATCTCATGCATTACACAATCATTTACACCCCCTCACATGGAGGGGGCCCACGATTATTTTATTATGTGTGGACTCCCCTCCATGTGAGGGGGTGTAAAGGATTGTGTAAAGAATTATGTACACATAGCTTTATGAGCGATTTTTTTCAAGCCATAACACTAGTTATATGTTTAAACAAAAATCTTTAAGATTCTGTAGTGAATTTAAAAAATTAAGTAAACAAAAGAAATATATAAATTTATCCTTTATTCATATCAGTTGAAGTCATTAGAAACAATATATACAGGATTGGTTTCTAAATTTATTTCCCTTCTTTATAATCAAAACCTGAGGCTAAAGTATAAGTAAAACACATATTTGACAAAGTTGTATAGGCATATTGGTTTTATTACGATAGAACATTGAATTCCTGGGCCCCTCGTGCGACCTTGATAAACACGTCTTCTAAGGTTGTATCAGCCAAACCCCACGCATGAACTGTGAATCGACTCTTTGCATTCTCAACAGCTTTGAACACTTCAGAAATAATTATCTCCTGCTTCGGCAACTCAAACTTTTGTGTCCCGGAGATTTGATATATCTTGTTGGCATTTGGAGAGAGATGTCGTACCAAATTTTCTACTTCTTCCTCATGATTTGAGATTGTAGTCATTGTAAACACGTATGATCCTCCATATCTTGCCTTTAGCTGAAAATAAAAAATAGCATAAACGTAAAAGCTTAAGTTGGAGCAAATATCAGTCTCAAACCCTCCATAGCATGCTATGCTAGTTCAGAAGATGCATATAAACTCATAGCATCACTGACGTGTTAGCTAAAACTATAAAATTACCTCTTTGGGGTTTCCAACACACTGCAAGCTGCCATCCACGAAAATACCCAGACGATCGCATAAATGCTCTGCCTCTTCCATTGAATGTGCTGAAATATTACGAAAAGGTGTATTAATTTGCATATTTGAGGGTACGTGCACGAGCGTGTACGCAAATGGAGAGCGGTGATGGGGGTGGGGGAGATAGCACTTGCATAGGTTTTCAACGAGAAAAGAGAGTATGAGAGTGTCTACTTGTGAGAATTATTGCTCTATTTTGCTTTGCACGCTTTACAACATTCCACAACATTTTTCTTGATGCGGGATCCAATCCAGTACTTGGCTCATCCATATACACCACCTTCAAAACATTCAAGAATAATTCTTATCAAGGTGTTAAAGAGGACTAATGTCTGAATGACAAACCAGAAGAGAAGGACAAGAATATACACATACTTTGGGATCTCCAATAAGTGAAATTGCGACACTAAGCCTCCTCTTCATACCTCCGCTATATTTCCCTGCTTGTTTGTCCGCAACACCACCATGAAATAGGTTCACACTCCTCAGAGATTCTTCGACTGCCTACATCATAATAGAAAAACCCATCGCATTATAGTACTAATAGAGATCCTATTAGATATACTATATAAATACTTTCCATATTTAAATTCTTATTTTAGGAAAAGTTATTAGGATTTATTCATTAAATTTTTTATTATTTTATTAGTTTTTTCCTACTTAAATTAGTTTAACCCTATATAAAGAAGGCTTAGACATTGTAATAGTTAAATTTGATTAGTGAGTAAGCTCATACTTTCTCCCTCTGATTTTTCTATATTCTCCCCCATTCTTCTCTCTTTTTCCCTCTCTTCCTCTTTCTTTCTCAATCCAGTTCTTGTTCGGTTGTGTTTTACGCCAAGTACATATACATGAGCAATTTATCAATCCAAGTTTTATGATGATTATAGTACATATACATGTGTAATTTGTTTTCATTTTTGCTTTCTCCGTTGATTTCATGATCACCACTTACTTGGTTAGCTTAGCTAACTCAATGTTAGATTGAAGATGATATAGACTTACTTGATTTAAAGCAGCACCTTTAAGATTTTTAAGCCTTCCGTAGAAAAGTAGATGCTCCCTTCCTGTTAGTCTTTCCCAGAGTAGACTGTGTATCGTTCACAAATAAGTACATAGAATGTGCATGAAGTGATATCCAAATGCATAAACTTAAGAGAATAAAAAAGAAAAAAATTGTCATCTTCACAATGTTGATGCTTACTCGTGCTGAGGACATACTCCCATGCTGGTGTATATTTGATTCATATCCGTCCGTATATCAAGTCCCTGAACATATGCAGCACCCGAGCTTGGCTTTATGAGCCCAATCATCTGTCAACAAACCAATGTTAGTCAGAAGTTGATCTTTTAGCAAAATGAAAAATACAAGGTTTTATGGATATGAATAAATAGTAAACGAATCAAAGACTGTTGACTGACCATATTGATAAACGAAGTCTTGCCGGCACCATTAGGACCAAGCATGCCAAAGCATTCCCCTTGTGGCAGAGCAAGTGATAACCCCCTCACGGCAAATTTTTCCGGGTTCCCGTCCCTCCCTGGATATACCTTTTTGAGGTCATCACAAATAATCGCATGACCGGTACTTGATTCTTGTAGTAACTGTTCGACCTTCTCCCTCTAAAAGAAAAATAACAAAGTTCACGAGGATAGAAATAAAGGAAATAAAAACAGAAAACTAGAGAAATTTGCATAACATATATCTTCAATATGTTAATAATTACAGACATCTCAATGTCATATATCTTCAAGTGATATAACTAATGTGACATGTTGAAGGTAAAATTTAAATAAATAAATATGTTTAGTCTTTGAAAACTCAAATTTTTAGATAAGCTGGTTTAACATGGTATGTATAAGACTTGAGTGCAAGTCTCACCCAACTTTTTATATAAAATTATCATGTATTGCATTTAAATAAATTAATGTGTACCCTTTTTAATAACTTAAGCTTTTAGATGGATGAGTTTAACACAACACATCATATTACCTCCTGGACAACATCAAGTTTCTCCATCTCAACAAAAACTTTAGACCCCTGCTTTTGAAAGCTAGGTTTCCGGAAGGATGTTGAGGGCTTATTTTGATGCTTCCACAAGAAATATAAAGGATTTCTTCCCGATGATGCGACTTGATCTGCATAATATGCTACCCCAAGCAAAACCAACCATTGCACTAACATAATAATTAAGACTTCTCTCATCCCATTTTTGCTATCGTTTAAATCTTTCCATCTCATCCCATCAGTTCCCATATAATTTCCAGTAAATGAATATTGTGCAAACTCATACAATCCACGATAAAGTGAAAATCCTGGATATAACTCCATAGCAATAATCCCAGCTCCTGCAATATTACAAGATCAACCTTGTGATGCTAAGAGAAGACAAAATTATTCAGAACAGAAGTGTAGTAGTGAGATAAGATACTATGCTGAAAATAACAAAGTCAAACATAATAGATTGAACGATTAACAGATCAGAGTACATTGTCATTCTGTCTACAAATCGGTTTTAGATTCTAGCAATCAATTGCAAAGAGAAAGGATATGGAAAAATGCCTTTAGTCCTGAAATTGGAATGAGAATATGAAAAAACATCTACTCCATGGTATTGTGATGTGCCAAAGATCCAAGAAGTACATTAATAGGTAGGTTGTCGTTAGAAAGAATTTTAATTTAAATACCATATTTTGGCAAAATGAACGTGGCATTTTTAGCTCTAGAAAACTCGAGATTTTTTTTTTTTTAAAATTTAGAGGGCATGAAGGGTAGGGAATTGAAAAGCCTTATTACACGAAAAAATATAGGAAGAAAGCGAACTTTCAAGTCTTCAGACCCGCAACAGTGAGAATATATAGACAATTGTGTCTCTATTCTCCATGTAGATCAATAGGAATCTGTGATTTTAACATGTGATTTGAAAATAAAATAGCACATAGTATAAAACTTTCCATTTTCATTATGCTCAGTATTAGGTTAGTGATTAGTCCTGTCCAAATTAAGGATGAAGAACAAAAACTGGGCATGTATCAATGAAGCATAACTATTATAGTTTATGAATTTTTGACTTACTTGGGAATGAAGTATCTTGGAGAAAGAATTGGAAAAGAAATCCACCCAAGAGTCCGGAACCGAAAACCATCATATACCCCACAACTGTAGGAATTTTATGTGTATCAGATAAGTGTGCGAGACGATTTATCACATAAAATAAAACAGGTATACTCATCATAATAAATAATGTTGAGTAGCTAAGGTCAAACCTGTAGTAGTCTTCACATTAGAAAACAAATCAGCAACCAGAAAAGCCGCTGACACTTGCAAGTTTATGTAGATGAAATAAAACACGAACTGGATGCTATAGTCATTTAGAGTGAAGAATTTTAGCCCTGAAAATAACTTTTGTCTAATTAACGAATGGATATCAAAAGGGAAGTATGATTGTTTTTGAATATATAAGTTTTTTAGAACTTGATAGGCTGTATTATTACCTATGAGTGAACCAAAAATAACAAAGCATAACATGTAGATTGAAGATATTAAAAGGAAATAAGCATAAGAAATCATCCAATAAGGCCAGTCGCCTAGCCCATGCATTTTCATCATGATTCTTAGTCTTTGTTGCTTCTCATAAACCAGAGATGTCAGTACAACCTGCAACAAAAAAAACCGACAATTTATAATGTAGCATAAAGCTAGATAAAACAATTATATACTATTAAATACGGTAAGGGTAAGCCCCTTTCATCCATCCAAAACTGTTCGCAAGTCTTTCAGCAACAGGACCCAAACAGAGGGAGCTGTGTTCCTTCTCAAACTAGTACAGCGAGGTATCATGAGGTTCAGAATTCTAAAACTATCATATAAAAATGTAGCATTAAACTGCACATGTTTAGTGGATGGATCTTCTGAAGATAGATAAAGTTAACGCAGGTTTGAATAAAAGTTTCTATACTGTGTTATTTTATCAAGAGAAGATATAACTAAACTAAGAATAATAGCGGTAAGAGAGTGGGAAAAAATACATGCATGAAAAGATTGATTTAAAATAGAACTTATCATGAGGGAACAAATACATTTAACTTACTGGAAATAACTGAAAGATAACCCACGAAAAAAATAGTGGCCCAAGCAGAGACGAGAAATCCAGCCTAAGTTTTGTTTCAGGCTTTGGCATTTCTTTCACAAACTCAAAAAGCATTTGCACTGAAGGTCCAAGCAAAAACTGGAGGTAGGCATTTGATATCTGCATATGCATATGCCAATATTAGTATGCTTTAATACCTAATTTCACATGATAGTAAAAATAACACAATTTAATACTTCATTAAGAATTTAGGATCTACAGTTCATGGGCTTTTAACCGAACCCTGTGTTTCTCTTCTCCTGCATTAAGTCAGATGAGATTGTTTAAGCTAAGATATCTGATACACGTATCAGATCAGATTGTAACTAAACCTTGTGTTTTCTCTTCTCCACATTAAGTTAGGTGAGATTGTTTTTTATACAAGTAAAATATATTTCATAATCTCATCAAAAGTTTAGACATCTCAAAAGAAGTGCACTTATCCTGACAGTTCACAAATTCATACTCAAGTCAAATTGAAAATTTCCAATATTTACACAAACCAAGAACATGTACAAAGGCAGACAAGGACAGGAACTAGGTACCAAGTTTACTGAGCGAGGCACCCGCGTCAATCCAAGAGGCTGATTGCCTGAATCATTCTTATATGTAGAATTGTACCATATACTCACATTGAAATTATTTGCATTTGAGTTCAAAAAATCATACGCTGTTAAACAAAAGCAAAGAGTGAGGCAAATTCACACAATAAAATGGTAATTTTATATGCACATGTCAAATATTTAGTGCACAAACCTGCTAAAATCTCATTAATCTTCCTTTCTTTATTTCCTTTACGATAACCCTTGTATAGCTCATCATTAATCTCTGAAGAACTATTACGCCATAATTGTAAACCAGGAACACAACTTACATCTGAATTTTAGATGAGAGAATTTTAGACAAGAGAAATGAAAGAATAATGTAAATGTTTTAGAGACTAACATCAGAGAGATTTTCAACTAGTTATGTGTCTATATTAGTTATGCCTGCATGAATGGTTATGCAAGAGCAGGCATGTAGACAACACACAGAGTGCATATTATTAATGACGTTTAGTAGCTGGAGAGTGAATTTTTTTACAATAATCTCAAAGTAAAGACCGTTTAAAAATACAACGAAATAAATGACTATATCTTTATCTGATTACTGTTTCTGAAGGTCAATAAAATCAGGAGAATAATACAATATTTGTAAATAATACCTTGTTGAAATGCAGCAGAACCAATTTGAAGTGAAACAGGAAATTCAGAGTTTGGAGCACATTGAGATTGAACATAATAGACTGGAAGATTTGAAAAGAAGGCTGGCTCAAGAAAACTGGAAAACTGAGTCTTCGACTGGGAACCCTGGATTAATCAAGAGGTCACAATAGAGACAGTGTATATACATCACGTATAGGAAATAAGCAGTGTTGATGAGAGAACCTCATCACTGATTTTAAAAGAACTCAAAAGAAGGGACAAAAAAATAAGAAAGACAACTAACCAATGGATAATTTGCAAGGCTGAACAGAATATCAGAGGAATTTACATTAAGAGGTCTCCTTGCAAACATATTTGCCGCCACACCTATCAGGATGTAGTCGTACATGAATCTTTTACTTGCAGAAGACAAGTATTTAACTGTCCCAATAAATTAAATTACTGAGAATGAAGGAAGGCCATACCTAGTCCAAGTGTTTGATTATTTCCAGTCAAAAGCATGGTTACAGGACATGAACCTGTTGTCTTGCATGATTCATCAGACAAGTCTGAATATGAAATAAAATCAGTTCTTACTGCACGATAACGTTGTGCCGGTATTTGTAATAGAGGCGGCCATTCTGGTGGGTGAGGAATGGGACAGGTGCCCACTTGGTCCAGAGTCGAGTATTCAATCCCGCACTTCTCCTCACATTGACCATCACCATTAGTATCAACACAAGTACAACCACACCTGTTTGAGGGTTTATCTAATTCTTTGTTGACCAGACTTTGAATCAGAACAAGCAACAGACAGAGGAAAAATGGAAATATGATGAGTCGTATATTAGTCCTCAGATTTCGTTTCTGCAATTGAAAGGGAAAAAATGAAACACCATCATCACAAGCATTAAAAGGAATCAAAAAAGATTTTTAAAGAGAAAATTCCTATTTTGCAATTCATAACCTTGGAACTAGTGATGTAAATCACATTATCTAAGCTTATCAGATAATAAATTTACTCGAAACAAAGGAATAAAAATCAGGAAAATAATCATAATAATACCAAATAAAGACCATAAGTTCAAAGTAGATTTCACAAAATGGAAACATCAGCCTATCGGGTAACCTTGAAGCAGCATTATGTTTCTAAAATTGAAATAAACCATGTATTTGCACTAAAAATCAACCTATGTAAATGCAGATGCAGAATTGACAAAAAATTAAAATCGTATTAATGAATACAAGTGAACTAATAGAAGGAATCATACAATACAATTCTCACTTTCATAGAAGTGACATGATAATGTCAGTTACTACTAAATATGAAAAAGAAATTCCCATCAAATAATCCAGAATCTCTTAACCAATAAACAGCGGACCCACTAAAAGTTACACAATACCAAATTATTCAATGCCAAAACTGCAAAAGTAGCAAATCAGTATTTAATATAAAGAAGCAGCAAAGGCATGGAACTATAGGCCAGAGAATTTGAACTTATGATAAAAAAGCACTCAAAAAGTAGAAAACCCAAAAATTAAAGGGGAAAATCACACATAAAAACACAGTGTAGAAGTAAACATGCCTGAAAAGTCAAATTCTTCCTTAACAAAGCATCTGCCTGCGTCCAAAAGCTAGCCGGCCCATGTGTTGCATCCGCCATTCTCTCTCTATGATTTGTGCGCGTAATTTGGTTAATAGGTGAATGAAAATTCAATTTCAAAGCAGAAATTTCATTGTTCTGTTTTCACTCAGACAGTTTTGCGATTTGCACTTCTTTCTTCACAGTTTTATATGGAATCTCGGGGGTGGGGGTGCGAGGGTGTAACGGGACAGCACTGGAGAGGAGTTGACAAAAATAACCTTTCATTTGCTGCGCAATTTCATGGAAGGATCCCATAAAATGACTAAAATGCCCTTCACGCGTTAGGTTAGTTGATTCTGGTACTACGGGTTCAAGGACATGGGAAAAGACACGTTTGGGAAATATTATAAATAAATTATTTAAATTAGATATATGAAAATAAGAGATCATTAAGTGGATAGTAGTTATAGTTTCCTTGAAATATATGAATAAAAAATGGCTCGATTATTTATAAACATGAGCCAACATAGAGTGTGTTTGGTAAGGATTTTTAGGGGAAGAATTGATTTTTGAATAGTGATATGATGGGAAATGTGTGGTTGAAAAAGAAAAAAATTATTGATGTGATGGAAAATATTATTTTATTGAAAAATGTGTGGTTGAAAATGAGAATTGATTTACTATAGAATTTGAGAATAAAAAACAAACACCCCCATATTATGTTTATGTAGTTGTAGATTCATAAATTTTCAAATATCAGATAATAGTTCATTTTACAATATAGAATTTAGTTTATTCAGTTACAGAAATACGATTTTAATTTATAAAAATAACAGTTTTTTGTTGATACCAGATTTTTTATACTCGATATATTTTACGGTTGGTTATTCTAAATAAAGAGTAAGAATTTTACGATTTTAGCATATTTCAGTTCTAGAAGAAATTATCAGAATTTAGAATTTCTTAAAATTGTAAGAAAATAAATCAGATTTTTTCAGTAAATATGTATAAATAGAAAAATTATATGTATTTGCGAGTCCATCCACTCACTGAGTTACAAGCTTATAGATTTTGTTACATTTTT